CATTTGAAGCCTTGAAGACATCGTTTGTCTCTGCACCAGTCTTATATCGTGTTGACTTTTTCAAGGCATTTTTTATGGAAACAGATGCATCAGATTTTGCCTTGGGTGCAGTTTTATCACAAATGGGAACAAATGACAAACTCCATCCGATAGCTTTTCATTCAAGAAAATTCTCAGCAGCCGAGATCAATTATGAGATCCACGATAAAGAACTTCTTGCGATCATGGATTCCTTTCAAGAATGGCGTCATTATCTAGAAGGCGCTTCTAGTCCAGTCACTGTGTATACAGATCACAAGAACCTCGAGTATTTCATGTCAGCACGCGTGTTGAATCGTCGTCAAGCTCGTTGGAGTATGTCTTTGTCAAGATTCGAGTTCATTATCACTTATCGGCTAGGAAAACAACAAGGTTTGTCCGATGCCCTATCTAGATGTTCTTATTTTGCACCAAAAGAAGGAGATGCAGCTTTTGAGCAACAAAGAACGGTCCTCTTGAAACCGGAGCAATTTCATCTCCGAGCAATGAAATCAACATTGACTGTTGATTCAACTTTTCTCAAGCAAATCCAGTCCAGTATGTCCTCAGACCCTCTTGTTTATGATATCGAGAATAATTCTTCCAAGTCTCATGATTCTTCTAAGTTCGAGTTCAAGAATAATCTATTATATTTTGAAGGACGCCTATATGTTCCAGAAAGAGAAGCACGTTTACGTGTTCTTCAAGCACGTCATGACTTTCCAGCAGCAGGGCACTTTGGATATAATAAGACTTTGGAACTCATATCAAGAGATTTTTGGTGGCCACAAATGTGGAAGTCAGTCAAAGACTTTGTACAATCATGTGATATTTGTTCAAGATCAAAAATTCCTCGTCATCGACCTTACGGACTTCTTCAGCCATTACCTATACTAGAACAACCATGGTCTTCTCTTTCTATGGATTTCATCACAGATCTTCCAAGCTCAAGATCTTATGATTCTATATTTGTGATAGTAGATCGTTTCACCAAGATGGCACATTTTGTGCCATGTACAAAATCTATCACAGGTGAAGAAACAGCTAAGCTTTTCATTGATAATATCTATCGCTATCATGGATTACCTAAAGATATCATATCGGATAGGGGAACTCAATTTGTGTCAAGATTTTGGAGGACCCTTTTCAAGATTTTAAAAGTGGACATAAAGCTATCTTCGGCTTTCCATCCTCAAATTGATGGACAAACAGAGCGCGTAAACCAAGTCTTGGAGCAATATTTAAGGTGTACTATCAACTACCAACAAGATGATTGGACAACCCTTCTGCCATTGGCAGAGTTTGCTTATAATAATACGGTACATTCTTCCATGCAACAAACACCTTTCTTTACCAATTATGGCTATCATCCACGACTTGATACTTTTGATTTTTCAAAAGTTGATAATCCTGCAGCAGAAGATATGGCAAATCGGTTGTCAGAGTTACATGCAATAATGAAGACACAATTGAAGGAAGCTCAAGAACGACAAAAGATAAACGCAGATCTATATCGTAAGGAGCAACCACAAATCAATGTGGGTGATAAGGTATGGCTACTTCGTCGCAATATCAAGACTACTCGACCTTGTGACAAGTTGGACTATCGTAGGCTTGGCCCCTTTTCTGTTTCTGAACAGATCAACCCAGTTGCATATCGGTTACATCTACCGGAGTCAATGAAGATCCATCCTGTATTCCACGTGTCTCTTCTTGAACCATATAAGACAGTGGATATACAAGGAAGAAGACAAATGCCACCGCCTCCTATAGAAGTAGATAATAATGAAGAATTTGAGGTGGAAGAGATATTAGACTCAAGGCGGCGCCGAAATAAGCTAGAATATCTTGTTCATTGGCGCGGATATGATATTAGTGAGCGCACATGGGAGCCATCTAGGAATCTAGCAAATGCATCAGCTAAAGTCAAAGTTTTTCATCAACGACATCCATCAAAACCAAGATGAAAACCTCTCTTATAAAAGAGACAAGATTGAGGCAAGATAACATTCAATTTCCTATCCTTGTTTGTAACTTCTTTGCATTTTGTGACGCTAATTAGATGGAGAGCCAACAACCAGCGGATTCAACTCAAGAACCTTCGTTTGCTGACTTACCGGATGAGACATTGCAATTGTCACAACCTTCAAGATGACGCAACCGAGATGAAGACCCTCAAGAACGACATGTTCTTCCTCGAATAGATGGTGAGATACAACGCGTTTGGTATCACGACCTTGGAAGAGATTCTCGATGTTTGGTGATATTATTGGAAATAGGAACGACTCCTGATGGTGTTTCAAATGTATTATTTGAAGGAAGTTATGAAGGCCTCAACAGTGATCAAATAACAGGGTGGTCTTCTCGCCCTGGAATGGGACACTATCGATGGCTAAGAGGACCCATCAACTATCTTCGAAGAGAACAAAGATCAGAGTATGTAGCAAATACAATTCGCCGCATATTAGATTTTTTCAATATATAATCACCGCTTCTCGTGGAACTCGTCCCTAGAAGGGAGGGTAATGTCACGGATATACATATAATTACGTATATGAATAGATAAAAGTATGTAAAATTAGATAAAAGTAGGTTAATTATGTAATATCTTCTAGAGAAGCTTCTTAGAAGCTTCATAGACGCTGCTTTGACTTTATAGGAGTCTATAGTTGACTTTTAGGTTAGAAACTTGGTCAACAAGTTAGCCATGAGCCACACATGTTGGAAGCTTAAAGAACAAGCTAACTACGTGGTCCATCCATAGAAAACTTGCCTTGCAAGCAAAGGCATGTGGCCTAGAAAGTCAACATATATTGGAGGTCTTATAGAACATCGCCATGTGGCTTCTAGTTAGATAGTATATATAGAGGCAAGAGTGAAGCCCTCTTCACTCTTGTCAACTCCTTTCTTGCTTCTAGTCTAGTTTCAAGGGTCTCTAGTTTTCTTATATTTTGGCAATAGCCATTCCAGTTTCTTTCTTAATATACATATTTCTATTTTGTCCTATTTCTTTTTTGAGAAAAGTCTCACTTACTCTTTAGCTTTCATCGAGTTCTTGTCCTTGACATGGCGAGATACAATTTGTTTGATATCATGACCTTGGAAGAGAATCTCAATGTTTAGTGATTTTATTACAGGTAGAAACAACTCCTGACAATGTTTTAAATATTTTATTTGAAAGAAGTTACGAAGGCCTCAACAAAAATTAAATAATAGGGTGGTTTTTTTGCCTTGATATAAGATACTATCAATGACTGAGAAGATCTATCAACCATCTTCAAAGAGAACAAAAATCAGAGTATGTGGAAAATAAAATTTGTTGCATCTTGGATTTCTTCAACATATGAAGACCGCTCCTTGTAGAACTCATCTCTAGAAGGAAAAGTAATGTCATTGATATACATACATAATCTAATAAATATCTATATGATTAGATAGAAATAGATAGAAATAAGTAAAAATAAATAAAAATAGATTAATTTCATAATACCTTCTAAAAAGACTTCCTAGAAGCTTCATAGACGTTGTTTTGTTTTAACATGTGTTTGAAGTTGATTGATAAGCTAGAAACTTAGTCAACAAATTAAACATGTTTTGATAGCTTGCGGAGTAAGTTAATTATGTGGCCCTCATATAGATAACTTGCCTTGCAAGTTAAGATACATGTTTTACAAAGTCAACATTGTTTAGAAGTCTTATAGGACATCTCTATGTAGCTCTTAGTTGAGAATACATATGGAAGCAAAAGTAAAGCCTTCTTCACTCTTGTTAATGCCTTTCTAGTCTTTAGTCTTCTTTCAAGTTTTTTTAATCTTCTTGTTTTTGATAGTAGCCATCTTAGTTCAATATTATATTATCTTTGAGTGACTTTTCAGTTCTTTTCAGTATTACAAGAATGTATTGAGGATTTTTTTTCTTTGAGATTTATATCCTTGACAAAATATCCATGCATTCTTTATAATAACAAATGTATCTCTTGACATTGATATAATATCACCATTAGCTCGTCTTGCTACATCACTTTCAATGTCATCTATAACAAGGTTCTATTCACCTTTACAAATGCTAATTTTTAAAAATAAATTATATTAATTCTAAAACATCAAGATTATAATTGACTTGTAATTTAATGTATCTTAAAATGCTCAATTCTTTTAAAATATATACATATATTTAATAAAATAAATAGGCATGTAATTTTCCATGGCTAGTAATTGTATTAATTTATATATAATGAATAAAAAGTTGTAGGTCAAATATGTTTTTGAAAAGTAAGATTTACATATATTTTGGTATTTTTAGCAATTGCTACTAAAATGTGAAGGCTTGGGATTAAGCAAGATGGTCTTCTCAAACCATGCTTTTCATATACAAATCCTAAGCTTCTAACAAAGAAAGTACTTACATAATACAATAGAAGTCATTATTACTACCATCACAAAATCTTTGCTAAATTAGCTTTATCATTTCTATAAAAAGTGTTCAAAAAATACTTTTATTATTTGTAAAATAAGTTATTTTTTTATTAATAAAACATTTTTTTTAAATAATAAGGAAATATTGTCTTATTTTTCAAAAGCATTAAGTATTTTAAGATATAACTGGTTGTGAGTCAATTATGATCTTGTCATTTTAGAGTTTGTATGTTTGTTGTTTGAGAGTTGGTATTTACAAAGGTGCAAGAGACTTTACTATAGATGGCTTCGTAGGTGGTGTCATTGAATAAATGAATAGTAATATCCTATCAATGACTAGGGATATATTTACTATTATAAAAAACATAAAGATATTCTTGATATTTTAGGATATTTAAGAGATATATTTGAAATTTTGTCTTTATTTTTATTGTTAAGATTGTATTATGGAAAATAAAATAAAAAAAACTAAAAAATATAAAAATTTGTTGCATTAGCATATTATTTATGGCTAAAATTTAATGATTTTAAACTTTGACAACTAATAAAAAATATTTTTGAGTTGTTGAAAGATCATGAATCTAAGACATGATAACAAGACACCTTAAATTATAGTTGTTGGTATAGTACATCTATATTATAGATACAAACATCTTTTAAAAATCTAAGTGTTAATTTCAGGACATCATATTCACGCCCAAAAGCACAAAAAAGTGAAAAAAAAGATGATACATCCATCTTTATCCAAAAACATCACATCTATTAATAGAATGATGATCTCGTGCATGTAAAGAGAAAGAAACTGGTAGAGATAGAGAGAGAGCGCGAAGTCTGTAGAAAGAGAACGAAAGGGACATGTAGACATAGAAAGAGAATCTAACGAAAGAAAGAGAGCAAGGAGTGGGACAAGTAGAGAGGGGGTGAAGCGTGCGCGGGGGAAGGCCGTGGGGGTGACACAGGGACAGGACGAACAGGCGCGGAAGGTGGGGGAGGGGGGCTACGAGTGTGCAAGCCCTGCCCTCTGCCCCTCTTTCCCTGCCCAGTGTGCTTGGCCGGATAATGCGTGGAAGCGGCACGACATCGGAGAGCAGGCCAGGGCAGAGTTGGTTGGACTGGCAATGGCGAGGCCCGACTGCAGCAGCAGCAGAAGCAGCAGTGGTAGCAGCGTGAGAGAGAGAGCGAGAGAGTTAGATTCGAATGCGGAAGGAAGGAAAGAAGGAAGATCAGAAACTTTCAACCTGGCTTTTGTTTTGCTTTGCTGCTTGCCTGTCTTCCTTCCCGTCCCTGATACTCGGCCGTCTACGGCGCTTGGCCCATAACATCCCTGAATGAGCCCCGCCACGTGTGACCGGAACTGATCACCGGTGCCGCACTCGAACACCGCACTGGCTTGGCTTGGCTTGACTACAATGTAGCGGGACCAATCGCCATCGCCGTTTCAGGGCTGTCTGATCACAACTGCCCCCCACCTCCCCCTCTCTCTAGTGTATGCCTGACGGCAAGGAAGGGCCCCGGCCTGCAGATGTACACATTTCTCTGGTTTCATTGAATATGTGTGCACCAATCGTGTCCCGCTCTGTGCAGAAAAGGAGCAACCGGATAGCAATATAATAATGGGTGCTGACTATCATCTTGTTTCTTTGTCTAGAAAGATGGTCGTAGGTTCATGTCCGCTACGCATATGTTGCTGAGGTGATGAGCAGGAAGTGGAAGAGGAAAATAAGATTCAGCACCTGGTCGCAGCTGGTCCGAAACCTTGTTATGCATGATGGATCATTACTTAGGATATTCTCACAACCTACCATACGGTGGGTCCATCCACGGTTTTGGTCTGGATGTTGATCCTGAACACCACTTGGTTTACTCAAAAAATGAAGTCAATTGTGATATGCAGTGAATAGCAGGCGCACCGAAATCACGATCTTTCGCAGATGCCAGTTCCCACAGTGGTTGGTCTGCTCCACTTCCGTCTCACGTTTGAACCCATGATGAGCTTCTTAACCAGTTGGGATTTGATTATACAATCTCAGTGAACTAGGGATGGAACTACTAATCATGAATCATACTCAAAGTTTTATTTGGAGCGGTGGAGGAAAAGGATGTGGTGTAATACTTGGTTTAAAAATTGGTGGAATTGTATCATGCCAGCCTGGGTAAATCTTCCGATGCGAAGAAAGCCGTGTTTTTATTTCAACAACAATGTCAGTTTGAGAACCTGAACTGTCCTTGAGTAAGAGTTGCACCGTGGTAGCTGTACTTCGACGGTTGATCATGTGTATTACTTGCACCATTCTTGTTCAGGTATCCTGTGGCCACCAGCACATGACAGATAAATTTTCGACCAAGGGAGGGCTGGAGGATGAGCAGATGCTAACCGTCAGAATGGAGTCGATGCCTAGCCAGGGAATTCCTATGGGCCCGGCTAAGTAAAGCATACTAGTTCGCGGTCGAGGGAGGATTGTCAGTGGTAATGGCCCACTGTGAACCAGATTTCTCTCGAATTAATTTTCCCACCACACGAGAGGCACTACGGACAAAGTCGATCGGGGTCGTATCCTCTGGGAAACTGCACTTTTGACAAAGTCTCTCCCGAGAATTTTTGCACAAAGCAAAAATTTCGCGGTAGACCCATCGTTTGGCGCTCCTGGCCCAGGCCAATCGAGGGACGGACTACCGAAAATAGAGGGTTAGGAGGAGGATTCGCTGCACTCTCTAGAATAGCAGAAATTGGTACAATTTTTCATTTGTAACAGAGGGATTTTCCGGTGGTACGAGCGTCCGTCGGTTTTCACACGTTTGCCAGTGCTTGTCCCTCACTTACCTGACCTTCGTCATTCGAGGGCCTGCAGAAAGTACATAAGAAGAGTTCTTCAGAGGTTTTGCAGGCAGGTGTCTCACTTCGAAAGGTACAGACACAAGCGCTGGATCTCGACGAACGTACGTGATGTGGGCTCTGCATCTGGAGCTCAATGTCCCAGCCCCGAAGGACCCGACGGCTGGTAGGGTGCACTCCAAGTGCCGCCCCTTGGAAGCCTCAGTTTGGCACGAAGCTCTTCCTCCTTCCGCCATCACTGAGTGGGTTAGTTTGTGGCATGCTCAGACATAGTACCCTACCATTTGTCTTATCCCTTAGTGATAAGTAATGCTCGACGTTCGTGTTGTTTGCTTACCAAGTTGCAGTGGTTCATGCTTCAGTTTTGAATTGCTGCAGTCAGTCCTCTTTAGTCGGCAGTTTTCGTATTTCGCCGACTTCGGTGACTGCAGAAAGTCGAAACAGTAGAGAGCCTGTTGAATTGCAGCGGTAGACTTGTCTGGCATCATTTGGTAGTCGTCAAACTTATTCTCCCCGAGTTGTAGCGGAATGATACCAGAAATTCGTGCCAAGCTGTGTGCAACCAAGGGGTTTGTTACTTAAGATCCACATGGGAGGAGCGTCCCTACCAGCACACCATGGCTGCTCTACATGCGCACTGTTCGGACTGATCACTTCTGCTTCATAGCTCTAGCAACGTATTGGTAACAGGAATCTTGTTTATATATATATATATATATATATATTTTCTTTGTTCATTTTCTTTTTCTGTTTTCTGGATCCCAGCTTGTTACGGTTTACTTGCAGCCTCGGCACGTCGAGTGACATACTGATGAATACTTTGCTCACCCAAAATTTAACTTTTGTCAAAGTGTAAACAGTCCGCGTCTTTCTAGGCTCACCATTAACATAAATAATTGTTGTGGTGCTGCATCACTTGAATAAGTATATACGGAATCTGAACGGTTGCTCAAGTGATTCTGCAGGGTATGTGAGGAACAATCCCATATTTACTGCAGGTGCAGCTGCTGGGCTTTTGGATGCATGTCGAAGCATGAGTTGCGTGTCCAAGGACTGTTTTGGTACACATTGGCTTAGCATGGGATCCCACTACGAGAAGTGCCGGGCATCGAATATTGATAAACGAAGGTGTGGCATACTTGTGCTGATGGTTGTTTTACAACTTGACGTGAGGCGCACAGCCATCGATCTTGTGTAGATTACGAATTGGGAATAAGTACAAAAAGGCGACTTCTATACTGCAGGGTTGTATCCCTGCGATGATGGTCCGCTGTTAATTCTATCATTACGTGCTAAATAGGGTATGTCTGTAAAAGTACTTCACAGAGCAAATCAGTTCTGATAATGTGTAATATATTGTTACTCAAAAGATGACACTTGATGAGTTCAATTGAAGGGGCGTTATTTGACTTTGAGCATTAGGAATGAGAATGTGCATGTATGGGGGTGACTTTAGAAAGAAAATGGAGCTTTCTTGAAGATGAGGTAGAAGCGAGCTTTTCAAATTTTGCTTTTTTACGCATCGAATATCCTCTTCTCAACTCCTCGAAGCCACAGTGGAACCTTGCCGCCACTTATGGCGCGCACGTGCAAGATCAGTAAAGTTGTCACGACGTGATCGTTAATGAACGCCAGCCCAAACGGATGCCTTGCACAAAGTTTGGGTTGCGTCTGAGATGAATAAAGAAAAAAAAAACTCCACACCTTGAAGCTGTAACAAGCGCTTGTAGAGAGTGACTGCAGTATGTGGTTCTGAGCGATTCTGGACTCGTCGCCACTTCCGAAACCTCGCACTACATTTAACAAATTAGCACAGTGAGCACATTCTATTTGTCCGTACGATCATGGCTAATCTGCAATGACCTTAAGTCACCTTTTTTCGTACCAACAAAATATGTGGAATATACTGTCGAAGTTATAATGTTGTTTTTCTGCTGCTTTCCAGCATCGAGAATCGTTTCCCACCAGCACAATCTCCATGAATAATCCAATGAGTGTTTAGTTCCGGTCATTGTTGACTTTCAGAGTCGACAACGCAGATTGTAGTAAAATGTAGTGAAAGTTTGAAAGGAACCAAGAATATGATAATCACGATATATATCATCACGATATATATTTTTTTCACAAACATCATTCTATAGATAGTCTGGATTCTCATCTAAATGATCTGAGAAATATGATTCCGACAGAGATGGCCTTGCAGTGAGCTCAGCAACTCACTATCATCACCATCCTTCGGCCAAGTTACTTTTCACCTAGCTCATTTCTGGTCGAAGGAAGGAGAAAGATAAACGCCGCTAGTGCCACAATTTGTATCAACGATGGGGGACCTTGCCATTCAAGCTCAATAGCTGTCAAATTCTGGGGACGTCTTCACCATAATTCTCTGCTTCTTATAAATGCACCACCTCCTCCACAAGCCCCTAAAGAATAGAAGATTGCAAGAATATAATCGTCATAAATAGATCGCACGTCATGTTTCACAAGGCATACAACTGGCTAGAGACTACAGTCCTTTGAAGTGAGGAATTCCCCACTTCATTTGAAGGGGGCCTCTCTGTGGATACGGATTTCAACCTCACGTTATTTAAACGAGGTTTACAGGTTCTGGACCGTTATGCATGATGGTACTTAGAAACATCCCCAAGCTTATGGTTCTTCTTTATTTTAAGTTTGCATGGTTGTGTGATACAAAAATAATAATTGTGGAACCTATGGAAAAAAGTAGCGGCTGTAGAGTCGCCCAGACATCTCAGAATTCCTTTGGTACACCCATGATTACCAGTGATGCGCAACTGTCTTAATTGCAGATAACGTAGGCATACTGAGCCGGCACGTTTTTATTTTATTTTATTCTCATCCAAATTCTCATCAAATCAAGCAATTGGCTAGGAAGAATTGTTTGACGCAGAATTTGCAGATCACGCGCATTTGAGAATTAGTCTACGCCCTTCTTCTAGTATTGCACGAGCGTGGTTCCTAGAGACGTGCCAGCCCTGGAATTATAACAGACTTCACAACTGTTTGGCTTCAGTGTCTGTTGCCATTGACGACGACGAACCACTGACGAGCTCGAGATTGTTGTGCTCATCTAGGCGCATCCCCAGAAGGCTCTAACTTTGTCTGGCCAGGAACAGAGCACCGGACAACAGAGACGACAAGCAATGCAATGATACAGCGCACTGGGATACTTATTTTTGTGGAGTGTCAGTGGCAAAGTTCTGAACATCGACTGCAAAGATGAGAAAAGTTTTATCTTACCTTTCATTTCTAGATACGTGATTGGAAAATTCCTTCGTCAAACTGCGATGGTCACAGCCTGTTGCAATCGGAGTTTGCATGACAATCCCTGGCTACTCTCGCATCTGGACACCACTCATCCTTAACTATACATGACAAGCCCTGAACACGACAGCATGAATTGAAGACCATGCTCCATGCACTTGGACGTCTCTCCCCCTCTTACTTCTACGCAATCACATGCTGGGAATGGGCCGGTGTAGCCGCAACCAACCGCGAGCCGAAGAGATTGCAACCGAAAAGCTTTCTGATTTGGATGAATGATCGGTCCCACCATCGCAGTCGGTACTACAACCAGTCGATGGTGATGGGCTCCCACAACAGAAGTGATCAACGGAGACAGATCAATTATAGGTTTTGAAACAAAGGCAGCGCTCTTTCGCGCTGAAGTTTCTACAACAACATCTACAAGGTCGTTTCCACTTCTAGGACCTCACTGACATCCGGAAACCCTCTCAAGAAGCTCACACTAATTCATCTATTGTGGCAGCGCGGCCCTTCGTGTGCTTCCGTACATGCCATCTACCGTATGTACGGGATAACTTTTCGGTTCAGGAAGCTATATTTCCTCGCAGAATAGAAAATGACTAAAAGCCCAACAAGTGAGAGTTATGTTGGAAGAGGTTTGTCCAAAGGGGGTTGATGTACACACAGTTCCTGCAGTAACTCTTAAAGTGGGCCAACCGGTTATGCAGCCTCTATCAGCTTGAGTCAGTTCTGGAATACAAACCTTGCAAAGTGGTGTTTGTAAGGGACTTAGAATCCCAGGCCAGCTGATGTTTACCTTGGCCTTACTTACTGCAATTGATGCAGTTAGTGTGAAAATAGATAGTGCAGCGAAGCGTACATCAAAACCGAAGTAGTGTATAAAGGAACCCCAGGATACTTCTATTCCGTAACGACTGCAGTAATGTACCTGGCAAGCAGCGCCAACTTGACTTTGAAGAATCTTCACTCTTCAGTGCAAGGGACGGTTGACAGAGGAGATGCGCAAGGCGGGTATCGTGGGCGCCAGCCAGCCAGCCCAGGTTCCTGATGAGGTCGGCACCCGATTGGCACGGGCTGCAACGAGTAGAGTATTCCCTGATTAAATCCGTTGCTCGTTCAGAAGTTGCTTGGGAGTTCGGGTTCAGGTGTGGATTCCCTCAGCTTCCCTTTTTGAACTGGTCCTGCAAAAACAGACACACCCTGGCCAGCGTCAATGTTGTACTCCCCGCCCGCTTGAATCTAGCTAAATCGCCTCCAGTCTTTCCTCCTTCGTCTGCGTCCGTTTATCAACCAATCGCACCTGGTAGAAACGCCCAGCACCAGGGCTGCCTGGTGAAGAAACTTTTCAACTACCAGCACTTAATGGCTCCTCTAACTCATTCATGTCTGGAAAAGTCAATAAGATTCATTAAAGAATTGCTGTTGCAAGGAAAACATCAACCCACTTCTCTTAATGTCAATTAGAATAATGCACATGAATATCTGCAAGTGAATATTTTTCGGATGCTTTTCACATAAGTAATAATCAAACAGCATCAGCATAGTTTCTAACATAGAGATTCTAATGTTCTTACTTGACGATAAGTATTAGATGTTCACTGTAATGTTCACGTCCAAACTCAAACGTCCGCTTCCCAATGGTTCATGCACATGCTGTAGTAAATGCCGCTTATAATATTGCATCAGGTACCTCATATTCTGTTGCCAAACAATTATTTGTGGTTGCCTGAACCTGACGACAACTCAACATAATTTAGATGCTTTTCACAAGGTCGGGTTCCATGCTGGATTCTTGACACTCTGTACCATCTTTCAAGCTATAATATCAGTTAAACGACTCCGGATAGTAACTGCTAAAACGAAGCGGTGAAGTTCTAAAATAATTATCGTTCGAACTCTGTGATGGGCTTGCAGGATACTGATTGTTCTGTACAGATCAGAAGGATTTTACCAGTGCTCTGGTTATTTGGAAATTTCTAGTTTCACAATCACTCGACTTTGTTCCGCCGCTTGTGACAAAGTCGTCACGATTGGTGAATGATGAGCTGTTAAGAAAGTGCATTTATATTTACAAACATACGATATGTTTGTCCTTAAAGTTTTTCTAAAAGCTTTGTGGGTTTCGAAACTGCTGCTAAAACAGTACAGCACTCGAGAGGTAGGACTCGCCATGTACCTAAATTGTAACAGTGCTTTGGCCTTCAGCAGCAACTCAGCTGATGCCTCTCTGCATTGTTATCCAAGCAGTCGAAGCTGCCGTGGATTTGGAGTAAGGCACCCGTTTCGTATGCGATCATTCTATTTAAAACTGATTCATAGTTTTAAGTAAGACGAAGTGAATCGAATGAGCAAACGTCAGAAACACGGACGTACCACCTTTGAGAGGTTTGGTGGGGGTGATTGTCACTTCATTGTTTTCATTTACTAAGAAACACAAATAAATCCTCATGAAGCACAAGAACTCACTGCAATTGGCGCAAAATACAGATTTGGGCAGAGGAAATGTTACAAAAAGTTGGAACGATTAACGAAATAGGTCATGTCATAGACGACATCGACTCTCGACAAGCTTCAGAGGAAGTTTTAATCACGTCTCAAGACCCACTCAGCCTGCTCAAACTTCAAAAACCTAAACGACTATCGGTCACAATATCGATCGCTTATCCTTTGCACAATGACAATGAAGCTGCTTCCGACACAATTACCTGTAACTAAGGAGGTGCAAGGGGTTCGTTAATCGCTCACAAATTGGCACAAGCTTCCAGGCCCTAGATTCATCAGATTCTGCCAATAACGAAAGCATAAAGGAAATAAAGGACTTACGCACACAGTCTTTCATGAGATGTATCTTTATTCAAGAAGCAGAGTCCAGAAACAATTCTCTAGTGACTGAAAGATGATCACTCTCTATTGACCTTTCTACGAACTAAACAACTATGACATGCTGGAACTCAACATATAGGCTCGCCGAAGATCCCTGGATGGATGTATGAAGAATATCATGGATGTCTCATCCAACACTCACACTCATCCATGAATATTCTACAAAGAATTCTGGCTTGTCATCTCCCACTCATTCTTTGGAAATATTCGAAGTCCTAGCAGAGAGCATAATTTTTTG